CCACTTCCCGTCCCCACCAGCGCCCATGCCCTGCGCCAGGGCTCAGTCTCGTCAGGCATCATAAGCGTTGACGTCTGTTCTGGTGCTTTGGGACCTGGCTGTGATGCGTCGACGAGCCCTTGGTCTAGAGCTCGCTGCTCTAGGCTTCATCACCCGACAGGAGCATATGCTAATTTCACGCTCGATCATTGCCACAGGTCATAATCGAACAATGTCTCCCGAAAGCGTCTCCTCCCTCTTTCCCCAGAGGCCGATTCGTCCCCTCCCGAAGCGCCGACTACGCGAACGCCTGTCGCCTGATGTCGCCGACTCCATCGAGTACCCTCCGGCGAACCAGAACTCTAGTCCTCTCTTTTACTACCCCAATATTCCGCGAGATGATGTTCCGTCTAGGTCAGGGGGCTTGAACGGTGTGAGCAGAAGTAGTCTAGGCTATGAGATTAGCCCAAAGGTTCATGCGGGGAACGGGGAGAGCGACGAAGAAGATATGGCGTTGAACAGCAGCAAGATTGTCCGTCGTCCACAGCCAGAAATCCTCAATCGCGCTTCGGCCCTGCCTCCGAAACTCGAGCAGTCCAAACATTCAAATCCCCAGCCACCACCGTCTACGGCATCGTCTGCCGACGGATACGAGTCGTTCGAAAACACGAACAACAAGAAGAAACGAAAGATACCAACGGCGGGGGATTCTGCGCTCTCCGGCACGCACTCGGTGGCTGACATTGGCTCCATGAGCATTTCGGCAGCAACATCCCCCTCCAACGAGCACAGCGAGCTAGGAGGGTCAGCATCGCCATCATACTACGGAGCCGGAAACTTCGTCACAAACAACCAAGGTATATCTGGGCCGGGGAGGGGCAGATTTGGTCGATCAAGAAGTGGTAGAAGTCCGCTGGGAACTCTGTCCGACGCACCGAATAGTTGGGTGGGAAGAGGGCCGAAGTACCGGCCGCCTCAATGGGCAACTTCAAGTAAGTCTTTCACAGCTCCTCTTCACGATGCTGTTTTTCTGTGTGTCTTCTGCTGCTGTTGCAAAGAGCTGGCGGTCTGTCAAAGGAGATGTATGCAAGCTCTGGCGGGGTCCTGCACATTATGCGGGACAGTTCTTTGAGGGGCATGGAGTTTGAGTATCACGGCTACCTCGAGCTTGAGATCTCTTTCTCGCTCAAATGCAAGCACCCACCACGACAAACGGAAGGCACACCCACCTACCTTACTCAACCCTCCATCTCTCCCTTTTAAGGAATTTCTCTTCCGCATCCCACAACTCGCAAACAAACCGCTGACAATCGTTCCCTAAGGCGAAAACCCTGGCATCATTTCGAGCGCCATCGCAAATGCCGAGAAGCTCCCGTCCACACCCGGTCAAGAGAACGTCAGTCTTTTACAGCAGCATTCATCTAGCGTCAAATCCAGCCCGACTGCAACGCAGTTCACCTTTACCTGCGACTCTCCAGTTCCCAAGCCACAGTGGCCAGGAACTGATCCATTAGGTTCACACGGCTCACTTCCAGGTTACGGCAACAAGTTTAGGCAAGCTTCAATGGCGACCCAGACGCTAGACGCCGCGAGCTCGATCGCTGCGCCTCCTGCGCCGGCACCAGTCAGCAAGGGAGGCGCGCAGCCTGGCAAGAAGAAGAAGAGCCGTCGCCGCCAAGAGAAGGAGCTTAGGTTGGCAGCCAAGCACCGTCGTCAAGAAGCTGAATACCGCTACATCAACAACCCGCCCAAGCCGGAGGATATGTGGATTTGCGAATTTTGCGAATACGAGCGCATCTTTGGCGAGCCGCCTTACGCCTTGATCAAGCAATATGAGATCAAGGATCAGAAAGCTCGCAGAAAAGAGGCGGAGCGGAAGCGGCTGCTGGAGAAGGCCAAGGCCAAGAGCCGAAAGGCCAAGAAGGCAGCTAAATCCCCCGGTAAAACGGCATCGCCTCAGAGCCAGCAGCAGGCCGGCTCGGCTGATGCGCCGGCGGGACACACAACCAACCCTGGCTTCACCCCCGACGAATACATCGAGGATATTGAGGGAGACAATTTCGACGACTCATATTCTCAAGACGATCCACCGATGTTACTGAGCGACGATCCGGATGACCGATGTCGCGATCCCGATTGCAACGACTGTCATGGAGCGTTCGAGGATTTGGATGATCCCGGCGACGAACATGAACCCCGCGACGAACCCGGCGACGAACTCGGCAACGAGTCATATTCACCATCATGAGCTTGTCCATAGTGTGGATTCTGGATACCTGAATACCTGAGAAGCTCAGCCGTGGAGCTGGCTCTCTCCTATGCGTCTACATTTTGCATTAACTACGGCGGCATTTCTTGCGCACCGGCTCGGCAGAACACTGGCAACCTTATTTCGGTCGTTGACTTGGATATCGGCCCAGCCCTTACCTCGAGAATCAAGCAAGCGATTTGGATTGTACCAAAGAAACAGCCGACAGCAACAAGATTCCCCTTTCGAAATCCAAAACAACAAAAAAAAGGCAGACGTCGATGCGCACTCTCACAACTGCAGAAGTGGCGCAAGTACAGATTAGAGATGCCAGAGGATGTTCAAGACATTCTTTCTGGGGTATTGGGAGTATGCAGAGAGATGATCTTGGGAACTCGTTTGGGCTTGGGCATGAGATGTACAGATTATTCTGTGAAGAGATCTAGAAGGGTAACGCTCAGTAGGAGGTTACGAGAGGGTTTCATCAAGATGATTGTTAGGGTGCTAGGAAGACCAACACAGCATTCGCTAGCAGAATCCACCACACTCTGATAACTCGATCAAAAAAAGTGAAATTTGTTCTTCTCTATTCATCTTCGTCGTCGTCTGCATTGTTGATTCTCACGCTGTCCATCGCCGTCCGCAAGTAGATGATAGAGCAGGTGCCAGCGAAGGGAGCTCCGAGAAGAGGCATGACGTAATTGACTGGGGCACTGATTTGTGGCTGGTCTGGGCTCCTTCGACCTTATTCATAAGCGGGACGGGAGACTGACCCCTCGGCCTTTTCCGCCTCGGCAGGACCGTAATCCCGTCCTCATCGCCAATTCATCGTCCAATCCCACACGACAAGGCTGCTTCGTGGCTTGCATGTCCTGTTGTTGTTCAACGATCGAACAGAGTTTAGCATCGATTCTAGTAACGGCGGGCGTCCCGAGGGCTCCATGACCTTGCGTTTGAGATCAGAGATGGAACCGCGATTAAAAAGACGGTTTCTTTCAGAAATGATCGAGTTGAAATGACCTGTCCGACCGGAGGGGCGCAGCGCAGGACCGGAGGTTGCGCTACCGTAGCCTCCGACCAAGCTACTGCGTCTGCACCAGGAATGGAGGTCTTTCGGAGGATGTGGAAGCCAGCGCAGGTAGGTAGCTGGCAGGTCATTCCCATTCCCGACTTTGTCGCCGCCGATCAGTGCGGTTGGCGGAGCATGCATAGACCTTGGAGTCGAGTGTTTGCCAGTCTTCGCCAGTGACGTTTCTTCGGGCTGTCTTTCCGGAGGGACCCATCCGGAGCTGCGGTGACAAGTTGAGTTGGATGGTGGTGTATTTGTCGCGTGATAGGCCCTGATACAGACCTTTGCCATGCATTTCCATCAGAGTCCAGACGCAGGCAGGGAGCTCCTCAAGCTTTCTCTCACCTCGATCTCCGCCAGTGCCGGTCCGCGTATGCCGTCTCCTGCGGCCGCGGGAAGTGTTGCGCGTTGCTACCTACCACCTGCTCGAAGTCTCTCGCTCAACTGGATGGGATGGATGGATGGCCAGGCCAGGGGTGGGGGAAAGGCACGAAAGCTTCGCTGTCAGTCAGGCCTGAAACAACCCTGTCCTGTCCACCGCAGCCCCAAGTTTCTGTGAGACGTCGATCAACTGCTCCACACGAGTTCGGCACTCAGAACTCTGTCTGTGATGGGCGGTATCTTGCAGGAGGCCCTCTGAGCGCCGATTTGACTCAGAATGAGCTGGATCATCACCCGCAACTCGTGGCCACCTTACTTTGACCTGCTACAACGGCTATAGGGATCACGGACGCAGACACGACAGAGAACACAGGTGCAGATGACCACAGCTCTACAGATGCGGTCTCTTCATTTTTGTGTATGGTTTGTGCTTCCCGCGATCTGCTGCTGTCGTGGCCCCCCAAAGGCTCCCGCCCAGAGACGGCTCATTGAGATGCGGCATTGCAGACCAAGGCCATCCTGTCTCTAGCTTAGGCCGGAAGTCTGTCTTCAAAGCAGCCAATCTTTGCGAAACACAGGGTGCCAGGTCAGAGAAGCTGTCACAATTGCGCAGCAGTAGCAACATGGCCAGCGAGCAGGCAATGCATGGCCCGTGGGATTGGCACCCTCGATTCAGTGGAGCCAGGCCAGACCCGGCGTGGTGTCGTCCCAAAACAGAAAGGCGGCTCAGGCGAAACAAGGGTGCCTCCAGAAAGGAAGCGCGGTAAGGTGCATTGGGCAGGCCGTGGGTGCAGATGCCAGGCGTCCGCCGCCGCTAGTGCTCTGGATGTTGCTGCCGCTGCTGCACCTTGCGCAGCTGGGCTGGGCCGCTGCAATCACTGGAAAAGAATGGGGATGAAAATGGAATGAAAGCAGCCCCGTAGGTACAAATTACTGTAGGGGGAAAAAAACTGCTTAGTGCACGCACTGGCCAGCGCCCCCATCGTGGCTGAACCCGACTCACCTCTTCCGTCATCATCCCATCCACTCATGGATCCCATCCACCTCCCATCCCATCCTTTTCCTCTTCTGCAGAGGAGCCTATCCACCATCTCTTTCCACCCCCAGCTACCTTTTCCCCGACATCACCAGGTCTAATCTACCGCGGCCTCCGTCTTCCCGCACTTACTCGACCCTTCCCCCGCTCCGATTCCTTTCTTCTTTTGTTCTTCTTTTAATCATACCTTCCCACATATTTGACTCTATCAACCCTTATTCCATGCGACCTATTACCGAATCATCACAGGCCTTGCGCCGTTGATCGACGACCAGAGATACGCAAACATGTTTGGCGGTTCTAGGAGGCACCGGCAAGCCAATCAGGTAAGTCACCACACTGCCAGCTCTTGCTTCTATTTGATGTCTTGACCGCGATCCTTCACGATGCGGCTGTTGGGATCACGACCGCGCTGCATACCCCTGGATCCTCGCTCGGCGATGTCGCATCTGATTTTAACTAACCCGGGCCCGTAGCCATTGACTGCCGCAACAGCAAATCCCAGCGCGGCCACCGCAGCCGCATCAGCGTTCGCGCGTCGCGCATCCTCGTCATCCCTCTCATCCGCCGCCGCCGCCGCCGCCCTCCGCGCAAGACCCACGACACCCATCAATGTCGCCGAAGTTCAGACGAAGCGGACTCAAAAGCGCAGCGCGTCCGTGTCGTCGCACGGCAGCCAGGACACCCGACGAAGCCTGCATAGGTCCCCTAGCCAGGGCTCTATGAGCGAGAGGACCTTCCGCTCGCCGTCGCCACACCGAACCCCGGCGCCCGCGGAGGATGCGCCGCCGGTCCCGACCATTCCGGACGACATGCGGTCAAACGGCGGGAAGTCGACCCACACCAGGTCGACGAGCCTACAGATGCAGCCGTTTCGTGTTGCGAGTCAGAAGCAAAAGGAGGGTGGCTCCTGGTTTGGAGCCGCAACGGAGGGGAATTTGGCCAACGTCAGGACCTCAGACGCTTCGATGCGCGTTGCTTCACCAGAGTCCCGCCCGGGAGCTGTAAGCCCAACTTCTTCTGTCAACTTTTCCTATCCGAGGGGGCTGCATACCGCATCACCCCCACCATCGCCAGCTGTCGAGAGCATTAGAATGACAAGTAGCCAGCGACTTGCCTCGCCCCGCCGAACAGAGTCAGTGGCCTCCCGGTCATCCGTCTCAGAACAACCACTCGTATACGATCCCAACTCGCGGAGGATGGTGCCCAACGTGAATCTGTTGGCCAAGGAGCAAAGTGTTCGTGATGCGTCCGAGAAATCGCCTAAGAAGAAGAAACATCAACAGCAAGGATTGGCTAGGAGTGGTTCCCACCTCGCCAAAGGTACAATGAGTAGAACTCACGGTGTTGCAGTGGAAAGCGAGGAGCCTGCCACGAGGCAGCGCGAACAACCTCAAGCTCGAGCTCAGGCGACTACTCCTGAGCCAAAGGTGTCACAAAACCAGCTCGCGGCTAGTGAAACAGTGCAGCCAGTCCTAGCGCCATCACATGTAGACGAGAAAGCATCAATGGTCGGATCTCATTCTTCGCCTAATGGGTCAGCACCTGAGACTCGCGGCCAACAACAAGCAACAGCCAGTCCTGAGACTACTCAAGCGGCCCCAGAAGTAGAGTTCGAACAGCAGGCGCGAAAGAGTGACGGCGCCACCAATCTTCCGCGTTCTGAGCCGCGGCAAGGTGTCCCTATCTTGGCAAGAAAGCCATCAACGGTCCAGGAGGAATCAGACGAGGACCTGCTGAACTCAGAAGATGAAGATGACCAATCTGCAGCGCAACAAGACGTTGCTAATGTCCTTGATGCAGTGCCCGTCCGATCCTCCGGCCCTCCCAAGCAACCATCTCTGTCTTCTGAGAGCACGGTTGTCGAGTCTCAAGTCTCCTCGTCCCAGAGGCAGCCGAGTCCACCAGAGCTCAGGCAGCATGGGAGCGTCAGAAATGCCCGGGCTCACTCCAGCAGTCCGGCAAGATCAGCGCGCTTTGCATTGGGGGCAGATCAACTACTCATCAGGCATGAGCCTCCCGCAAGATCAGTCTCACCTCGGAAGTCCGCCTTGAAGCACTCGGCTAGTCCTTCTAGGGGAGCTTCGCCGACGGACGAGAGCTCCGAAGCTTCAGGTCCCAGTCGGTATGGTAGTGAGGTCACTGCCATTGAGGGCCAAGTAGCACGCAAGAAGAGCGTACGCGTCAGCTTTGACGACGAAAACACCAAGGTCGTGGGACAGTCTGCTGCCAAACCTGAGCTTGATTCGCCCGTCCCTCCTAGTCCCCAGACGAAGAGACACTGGTACAGCCACTTGGGTCGAAATCGAAAGAAGGAGGTGATTGCCTTGGATGATGACGAGGTCATGAAACCCCGTCCAGCGTTGCCATCATTTGGCAGTGTGCGTGACAAGAAGCTCAGAGAGCCCGAGGAACGGCCACTCGTTCGGCCCGTTGAACCACCGTCTTCCCCATCTGCTCACGATACATCTGCAACTTACGATTCCGACAATGAGGAACTCTCGGCTCCTCTCGGCGCGGCTGCTGATCACAATGTCGGCGCGATCTTGAATCAGGAACAGACGGCCAGAAACGCGGCGAACATCTCGAGGTTCCGGGAGCCGTTGCCACCTGTGGTGACATCCATGGAAGGTAACGGCTACTACTCGCCCAGCTCCTCCAGTTCTGAGGACGAGGAGGAGCATGAGATCGTGAAAGAACCAGAACCAACATTACCTCCTGAGCAAGTCAAGGAAGAGATAGTTGCTGCTCACCCTGAAATAACTCACGACGAACCCATTTCACTTACAGCGCTTGTTGACCAAAAGCAGCCAGAGGGCAAACACGAGGTAGAACATGTTCCCGCCATCTCTGTTATTCAACCTACCCCTACTCCCAAGGAGACAGCCCCTAACGGCTCGGTGACCGCCTTCAGCTCCGGGTACTTTGATGTTCCCGGAGGTTTCCCGGAAGACGAGAGCGACGATAACGCAGTCACCACCCAAGCTCGACCAGAGTCATCGGGTCCCAAGAAACCCGTTGATGAGCCGGCACCAGCGCCGAGGACAGAGCGATCCATTGCGTTCGCTCCATCTGCGCAAAAGACCACGTATGAACCCTTGGTGGAGGAAACCGAGTCGTCAGAGGGCGACAGCATTTACAGCGATGCATACGAGGACCTATCAGAAGTCGAAGGGGACGGGTTTATGTCTTTGGATGCCGTCATCACAACTCCAATTCCCAACAAGGTTTCGCAGAAGCTTTACGAAAAGGTTCTGGTTACACCACCTAAGGATTCGTCCAAGGACTCGCAAGCCAGCGATTCTCCCCCTGGACCAGAACCCACCCGAGCCGCTGGCCAACCCGAGGACGAGTGGGAAAAGGCTAAGCAATACTGGCGGGGCCTGACCAGCGACAAGCGCAAACAACTCGAAAAGGAGGCGTTTGAAGAGGCGGGTGTTGATGGCGATCTTGAGGAAGTCATTCAGCCCAAGAAAGTGAGGAGGAAAAAGTCGGTTCGTCGTAGCGATGGAGCTGCAGAAGAGCAGGCGGCAACAAATCCTGAAAGAGTGTACCAGATTCAGCCTGGCACCAAGGCCGCTGATGAGGACGAACCACCATCACCCATGCGCAAGACGCTTCGCGGTCGACAGCCACAGGAGACGAATGGAAATGGCAAGCTCCAGAAAACAATGAGAGGAGCGCAACCTACGCAACCATCAGCAGGCGGTATGGGCATGCGAAAGACTCTGCGGTCCGATGCTTCTACGCCCTCTCAACCTGTCGATCAGCAACAGCTCGGTGGAGGAGGCATGCGGAAGTCTATGAGACAGAATGGCTCCTCCGCGGGCCCAGGTCCTCAGCCGCGTGCCGCTGCTGCACCTGCCAGCCGGCCTCTTTCGACTCAAGGTCCACCAAGACGCGAGTCCGATGAGAAGCGCTCCAAGCATGCCTCGATTGACGGATCAATGACCAGTACCGAGATGGCAAAGGGCATGCAAGCCAACTTACGGCGACGTGCGTCAGACTCGAGTGAGAGCAGTTTTAGACGTTCACGGCCTCAGCGTAATGGCCTTGGATTCAGAAAGTCCATGCGTTCGAATGATGTGCCGGAATCAGGGGCCACGGGCAGGAACTCACGCTTTAGCCTTCGGTCCGCCTCACCACCCGGCTCGCCCCGCTCACCACCGGTTACAATGGGCAACAGAATGACGATGCGTACAATGCGTCGGGATTCTAGTGAAAGCAGCACAAAACGCCTGAGCCTTCTCTCATTTGGGGGCAAGAAGTCTGCTAAGGAGACCACGAAAGCCGGCAAGAAGAGCCGGTTTGGAGACTCAAGCGATGAGGACGACGCTGGGCCGTCTGCTTTCCGCAGTCGTTTTGCCGACTCCAGTGATGAAGACGAGAGACAGCCTTCCAAGTCTGCCTCGCAGACTATGCCCAAAACGATGCGAACTTCAAGCTCCGCCGCGGCTGCTGCCATGAAGATGCCTCCCCCACGCTACGATGAGAAGGGCGAAGAATCGCCAGACCTTCCGGACAGCAGTGACGAGGAGGTCGCCCCGCCTCCGGTCCCGGTGCAGTCGCAGAAGCCGGTCTCTCAGAGAAAGATCTCAGGCGCTAGTGGCCGCCTCGTCAAATCTCAGTCGGATGGTCACGGTCTGCAGCGGTCGGGCTCTGGTCGCGCAGCGCTTATGGAGTCTTCAACGACGCCCGCCGTGGGCACGCAAGTGATGGCTCGCCCTACGCAGCATCGTAGGGGCAGCCTACTCTCTGTGCTCCGCCGCAAGAAGGACACCGACATGGGCAAGATCTCGCGTCCTTCTCACGGCGAGAGCGGGGCTAGGAAGGACACCAAGCTTGAGCGCAGCCCCGACGAGATCTCGGCTCTTCGTAGCGGCACCATATCACCCAGACTGCAGAAGCAAATGGAGAATTGGCCACTCGTCGAGGAGACGATCGACGATGAGAAGAGGCCAATGACCTCGGATGGCACTAAGCCGATGGACGCCTCGCGACCCGTGTTTGCGCCGCGTCGTAGCACGAACCAGGTGCTCGTGGCGGGCCGCCCCGGTGAGCTGGACACTACACAGCTCGAGGGCACCCGCAAGAAGAAGAAGTTTGGCACGCTCCGTCGCATGTTCAAACTAGATGACTAGGCGTCTTTTTCATGCCACGCCTAACAACCACCACCATCGCCCAGCCTAGGGCAATTGTTTTCTCCTTTCACACGCTACAATCGCAACAGACCTCCTCCAGCACCGGTCTGATAATCTACATAATCTGAGCTCCAAACGACGCTCCTTTCTTCATCTGTCACCTTACAACGATAACAAAGCAGGCGTTTCAGGGCTTTGATAGAACACATATTTTGAAGCGAACATCATGGCCCTCGCGGAAGGAATACCCGAGCACAAAAGACCTTCGTTTATTTCTTATGTTTTTCAATGGGGTGGCCCCAGCGGCATACAGGCACTAGGCGGAGGATGGGCACTGGGTGGAAAGGATGGGAAAATGAAGGCAGCGGCAAGACAATGACGCCGACTGCAGGGAATTGAGATATGTACAGTACATGCTTTATTTTGAATGATACCACCGAGGAAATATCAGAAGCGGGAAACACGCCGCGTTGAATACTTTATCGACCTTATCTCCAGCATTGCCGGTGCTCTCGCAAACGTGATTATAATTTGAAGAGGACTGTCATGTCGGCTGTGGGTATAAGCACAGTCATGAGGTTGTGGTGTCCAGGCGGGTAGGGACGTTAAAGACGAGGATAAGGACGACACGACAGCGACGAGGATAGGGACGATGGAGATAATAATCAGGACAACAGAGACGAGGAAAAAGACCACGTTAAATATAAGAAAACTGACAATCACATCAAGCACGACGATTGCGACAACAAAAGGCCCGCAGCACTCCGCCTGATCGGAGTACCTGCCCCTGATGGCATATATCTGCGGCGACGACTAATACTCCAGAGGTAATGAGGTGCAAATTCGCAGTGACTCCGACCAACAGTCTCAGACGAATAAATGCTCACTCGAGCTCTGCTTCCCATAGGATTCAAAATGCTCCAGGCAAGTTCTTGGGGATTGGAAACAACGACGTCTAGTAGTAAAACCGGTACAGCAGGCTAGGTTCTTTCCTGCGTCTCCTGCGTGGCCCCGAGCTCTGTACACTTGACGAGGGACTAGAGCTTCTATCCTTAGGTTATTCATAACCATCTCAGGGGTGTTGCATTGGTGGAAGAGATAGGGGTGAACAGCAATGAGGCTTCTTCAACATTGAAAGACGCCCGACCATTTGCGGCTGTGGCTAGTCAAGATCGCGGAAGTGATTTAAATATCTCCAACCACTCACATCGTCACAGTGGCTATTTATTGGCCAGGGACGTTGGTCCATAGTATCGCTCAGACACGGGCTATTGCTGAAGTGTACTCACCTTCACCCAGCCAAAAGGGGCTAACTCTCAGTCTCCTTTACTTTTGCAACAGGCGCATCTTGCTGCAGAGAGTGACGTCTTCGTCACAATTACTGCTTGCAGAGCACCCCGTCGCCCGAATCCCAAGAAACAGATGCTCAATACTACTGTCAAGGCGCCTGAAGAGGGATCAAATCAAGAAAATGGTGCCTCGTTGGGTTGGAGCCAAACCCCTGGAATGCGTAGACACCGGCTGGTCCGGTTTTCAACGTCTTCATATGACTGATACGTGAGCTCTCAGCCCAACAGGTGTAACTTGCCTCGGGCGCAAGTTAGTCTTTCATGAGAGAAATTACCAGTAGTCTCGGCTACGTATATGTAACCTCGGTCACCATGATGCCCGCTCGATGTATCTCAGTCTTCAGCTGAAAGGGGTCGAGTGCTACCCGCCCGAGTGTAAGTCCCGCCCTGGCGATGGACGGCAGCGCATACAACCCCATGTCGAAACTTGCGTCACTTTCCTTCTGGACGTTCCAATTGCGAGTAAAACGTGGCCATGTAACAATCGCATTGTCATCGAAACAAGCTCGGCCACACGACTGAAGAGACATCAGGCCAGATGGAGCACCTCCTTAGTGTCCGAGCGGGCCAAGACAAGTCATGATTTCAGCCGGTGTAGTTGCCGCAGAGTCGGTGAACCGGAGGAAGGTTTGCCATTGGCGCATTGATTGTCCCGACACCCATGCACATACACACACATAACATCGTGGGGAAAGAGGGCTGACTGCACCTCTGGTCTGGCGTCACCGTTGAGAATGGTCTGTCCCCGGGAAAAGACGGAGGGCCGAAGGATGTGCGTGTGAAGGACGAACGGATTCAATACGGCTTCGTTGGTGTCCCGGTAGCGTCGTGACGCTATTTGACTATGGCGTGGAGGAGGCCTGGCTGTTTTTGTTTACATGCTGCCTGAATCTGGGGATGTAAGTGTTGTTCGGCTGAGTCCAACTTGGCAACTTGGCGAACATGGGATGGGCTTGTCAGTCGACAAAATGAGGGAGGAGAAAAAGTCAGCTCTGATCCCCCGTTGCTCGCCTTATTCCGCTGTGAGACGCGGCAATGATGGCACTTGGCCAAAAGTAGCAGCAACGGGCGGTTGTGATCGGAGCTTCGTCAAGCTGACAGCCAATGGGTCCAGCGCATGGAGTTTCTAAAGCGAAGTCGTGGTGCCGCAAGGTCGTGGCACCTGGTCACACGACTTGGTTCTCGGATGCTTCCCCCGCATTCAACGAGATCAGAAGACCTCAAGACAAGGGCAACGGTACGGTACGGGGCCGCAACGTCGGGAAAAGCAAGCATCGATTGCCCAGGCCGACAGTGATCCCCGGATTGGTTTTACGTACCTGCGCAGAAAGCGCATTGAAAGATGCGAATTGCTTTATTTGGGCTTTGCAATGGGCCATTCTTACTGCATCGCGGTCGGGGAGGCCCTGATGTGTCCGTCTCCGAATGGTGTGATAAGGTGCTCCTAATTTTCACCCCTTCCTCCTGTCCCTCCCATCAATACCGCTCCACTCCCGAAGTTCCCTTTTTTTTCTGTCGTGGTCGCGCTAGGAACCGCTTCCGCCAGATGTCGGGTTTGCTGATTCGTGCTCGGTAGAGCGGTGAGAAGGGCGCCATGTCATCGGTGAGGAGTTCGCTGCTGGCCATGATCAAGCTATGATACCCTGGCACACCTTGTCTCGGTTGTGTTCGCGCGGCGGAGATGGCGATATTGGACCAGTGGGAATCGCGCCGGGTCACGGGTGGCCGAGATGAAAGTTGAATATGCCACAGCACGGCGTCCCGTAGCGCCTACTAGGGAAATTCGTCCCTTGTCAACGCCCTGGCAGACTGGGATGCATGGGTATATGACCGTCAAGTAAGGCACACCACAACAGCGTCGGGAATCGTCCCAACAAGTGACCGGGTTTGCTTCGGGATGGAAGGTTCTTCGGAATGCGCAGTCGTCGAGACAGCAAATTCAATGGCCATGTGTCACACGGGGCCTTCTTCTCGACGTCCGCTGTGAAAGCAGCAGTTGCAGAGCCGCGAGTGTCCGCGACCGGGGTACTATCTCGGGCGATGGGCATCCGCGCGAATCCAAGTACTCGGCCGGTTCTTTGCAGTGAGTGACCCAAGCAGGGCAGCCAAGGCAATCGAAAAATGACTGATAATCGGCGTTGTATCTGTCAAGTTGAGCCAGGGTTGGGGCTTGTGTGTGGCAGATGGAAGGGTGATGGTTCCAAGTCCCAGGGGCGAACACCACCACAGGCGCTACAGAGGACACCAATTTTGTTCTAGAACGCCATTTTCTGGGGACGTGGGGGCCGCATCCCTGCTGGGATTATTTTCGCTGTTTACCAGCAGCAGCGCTCCCAGTGTTTGGGGCGGTCTTGGAACACACGGCTGCAAGCCGGACCATCTTGGCCACTGATTGCCGTGTGTGCTTTACGGGCGCGCATACCAAGTGCTGTGACTGCGACGACACTGGCAATGAGGGGAAGTCGATCAGATTGCGCATCGCAAACAGCGCCAGTTATCGCAACCGCATCTTGCCATGTATGCATAAGGGGGATCTTAGTGGTGGTAGTGGTGGTAGCCCGTTTGCAGCATGCGGCAGTTTGTTGTACCGTTATTGCTGGAGTCCGTTTGGCCGTTGTCCATCCGATGCTATTCCGTGGTGTCGACGGGGAGAGTCCGCTTGGCGTGGGAGCAGAGAATGCCACTGGACATCGGAAACTCGGAAATAATTGGGCGTGATATGTGTGATGCACCCCAGGCGGCTCCGGCTCCAGGTCCATCTGTAGGTGCCCAATGGGGGGAGGGGGAATCAGAGATCAACGTGGCCTGGGTACTGGTGCGGTGGGTGAGGTCGAAGAGGGTTCCTAGGCTCAACTGCAGGTTGCAAGAGGCGCGGGTCGCAGGCGGGACAGTGCAGACGGCGACAGTCTCATGATGGCGGATGTGGTGTTGGCAACATGGATGGACCCGAGGCTGATGGAATTTGAGATGTGAGCTGACGGTGGTGGTGGTGGTGGTGGTAACGGTGGCTGGACTTGAGAGCTGTGTGCCTGAAGGAGAAACAGATCTGCTTGAGTCTAGAGCTTGATGGACCGAGGTCTGATCTCGGTGGTATTGACTTAGACTCTGGGATGGCATGAGGGGGAACGAGAGCCGGGAAGCACATGCAGAACGGGCATTTGTTTAGGTGAGATGCAAGTAAGGTATGGGGAGAAGTCAGTCAAGAGAAAGGTACAGAGAAAGGCAAGGTACGGATGGCATGCAGCAAGAATGAGAGAGCACAAGATAAGCTACACGGGCTAATGGAATGCTATCTTAAGGCATGCCGGGGAAGCTAAGGTCAGGTAGCTTCCATCTCGGACGGTGCGGCCAAGGAGGACGGACGGACAGACAGCACAAGCACAGCCCAGCCCCAATCCACAACTGAGGCAAGTACGATGGAAGTACCTACCTCCTGCCTTACCTTGCCTTCCTTGCCTGCGTTCCAGGCTGCTGATGTGTCGTTCCGTTCCTGCTCGTCGTGTTGCTTGTGGGACGCACAGCACTGCAGTGACTGCACAGCTTCCTGATCGCACCACCACAGACATGCCTGAGGCTGAGGCTGACAAGCACGACGGGACTGGACGACCTCAATTGGATCCGGGAGGGGTTGAGGACAAACCGTTGCTGCTT